AGAGCAGCCCCATATATCCATCAGTGGTGGAATGAATCAGTACATTATAGAGTATTCACACAGAGAATCTGATAGAGCAATCGGTGAACAGAATAAAAGAACAACATAAAAGAATGCATACTGTATGATTCATTTATATAAAGCAACCAAACCAAGCAAAATTTTATGGTGTAAGGTCAAGAACTTACTACCTTTGGGAAGGGAGATGTATTTGAAGAGCTGCAAAGATGCTGAATGATGTTCTGTTTGTGTGTATGTGTGTGTGTGTGTGTGTGTGTGTGTGTGTGTGTGTTGCTGGAGATTGAACCCAGGCCTTAAACATGCTAGGAAAGCATTGTATCTCTTGAGCTATGCCCCCCCGCCCCTTTTTTAGTCAGTTGTGTGTGTGTGTGTGTGTGTGTGTTGCTGGAGATTGAACCCAGGCCTTAAACATGCTAGGAAAGCATTGTATCTCTTGAGCTATGCCCCCCCGCCCCTTTTTTAGTCAGTTGTGGGGCTTGAACTCTGGGCCTGGGTGCTGACCTTCAGCTTTTCAGCTCAAGGCGAGCAATCTACTACTTGAGCCACAGCCCCACTTCTGGTTTTCTGGTGGTTAATTAGAGCTAAGAGTCTCCTGGACTTTCCTGCCCAGGCTGGCTTTGAACTACGATCCTAGATCTCACTCAGATGCCTGAGTAGCTAGGATTACAAGTGTGAACTACTGGTGCCTGACCTTTTTTTGTTTTCAAATTTTCCCTTCCTTTCTTTTCCTTTTTCCTTTTCCCTTTTCCCTTCCTTTCCTTTCCATTCCCTTCCCTTTCCACTTGAACTCAGGGCCTGGGCATTGTCCCTGAACTCCTTTTGCCATAGTTCTGGCTTTTTGGTGCTCAAGGCTTGTGCTCTACCACTTGAGCCACAGCATCATTTCCAGCTTTTTCTGTTTAGATGGTACTGAGGAATCGAACCCAGGGCTTCATGCATGCAAGACAAGCACTCTACCACTAAGCCCCTGATTTTGAATTTTCTAAACTTCAAAAGGTAGTATGAGGGGATACAGTATCTTATTTGGTTTTGAGGCATTTTGTTAACATTGCCTGGGTTGGCGCTCAGCCTATGATTTCTATGTCTTGATTGAGCTGAATAGCATCATGTTCCTGTATTATTTTCTCTCAAAGAATTTGTGTGTGTGTGAGTGTGTGTGTGTATGTGTGTGTGTGCATGTCCTGAGGCTTGAACTCAGGGCCTGGTGCTGTCCCTGAGCTTTTGTGCTCAAGGCTAGTGCTCTACTACTTGAGCCACGCTTCTGGTTTTTTGGTCGTTAATTGGAGATAAGAATCTCATGGAAGAAATGGCACTGTGGCTCAAGTGGTAGAGCACCCACCTTGAGTTGAAGAGCTCAAGGACAGCGCCCAGGCCCAGAGTTCAAGTCCCACGACCTCCATCAACAACAAAAAAGAATCTCATGGACTTGCCTGGCAAGGCTGGCTTTGAACTTTGATCCTCAGATCTCAGCCTCCTGAATAGCTAGGATTACAGGCTTGAGCCACTGCACTCAGCTTAGCAATATTATTTTAAAATAAAATAGATTTAAGTTAGGGAAATATTCCTCTTATTAAGTCTTTGGTTCAGAGGTTAATATGTTGTGATTTTAAAGGATCTTCTCCACTACATCTTTTGTTCAAACTTGGAATGGGGTAAGAGCTATATAAAGTCATTTGTGAGATGGTTATGTTTCCTAATGCTATTATTCAGGACTGCTAAAAATACATACAATGGATTTAACAACATTTTAAATTGTTCTTTCAGTCATACATTTTTCTTTCCAAAGTCAAAGGCTTCTGATTCATGAGTATGTGAACCTTTCTCATTTTCCCCCTAAATATCCTAATTGCAATTTTAGTTTATATAATTGTATTTGCCCTTTGTATAAAAATATATAAACTATTTTCAATAAATAAATATATAAACTATTTCATTGGCTGGCTGATTAATATAATCGCATTATGCATTAGAATTGGGTGGTGATAAGAGGTCACTGGTCTTGTAAATATATCTGAAAATTAGGAAACTGCTTAGAACTGTGCCTTTTAGCATGTCAACTTAGAAACAGCATAGCTTTCATTCTGTTCCACCCTTTCCCAAAGTACTCTGAAGACTCTAGAGTGAGTGAATAGAAAAAAAATCAGGTTTATTTTTCTTTAAAAATATAAATTGGGTGTTAGTATTTTTCTGACAATTAAGAACTCACATCTAAGGGTTTTGGTTATAGTTCTTTTGCTGCTGATTAGGTATTCCACAGTGGTGATTAGTGAGTGTACAAATGCAATCATTTGGTAGGGCTTAATCACTTTCATGTTTGAGAAGTTAGTTACCCAGAAAGAGAAATTGAAGCTTGTATAACTTCCATTAGCCTTATTTTTAACAGCAAAAAAATGAGAAGAAATTATGACTAAATTAGGAATATTGGGTCATATAAGATAAATTGTAGTTTAAAAGAAATAGAGAACCTAGGCAGATACATTTCTGTGAATGCTGTGTGGTGTTGTATTGTCTGCAGTAGATAGCATATGAATAATTAGCCCCTGCTTACCACACAGGAGTGTGGTAAGAGATATGGAGTGAGACGTGCTCCGTAAACACATGTATTTTCTTTTTTTTTGAATTGGTGACTGAGTCTTCACTATTACAGGAGAGGACAAGAAGGAAGGCATATCTCTTTTCTAAGGTCTCCTATATTACTCAAAGCTGAAAAGAAGGTTATATGGGAATGCTCTTTTTAAAAAAAAACACAACAAAAAACAAACACAGATAGGTAATCTGAAGCAAGTAGTATTTGGGTGATTCTGCATTGCTTTCTGGTAGGATGGTTTAATGGGATATTAGTTTGGGTCCTGAAAGTGAGACCTAGCGTGATTGTAAGCACCTGCAAGTGCTGAGACAGAGGTGTCTATGAAGGCAGCAACTGGCTGTTTAGGCCAAACAGTATAAGGGATTTTTCTTTCTTTTTCAGACAGGATCTCACTGGGAACCCCAGGCTATGCTCAAATTTGAGACACTCCTGCCTTAGCTTCCTGAGTATTGGGATTATAGATGTGTCCTACTACATCCTCTAAAAGTTGTTTTATTGTTGGTGGTGGTATTTTGTTTTATTTTGCTTTGCAATGGTACTGGCACATGCTAGGCAAGCAGTTCACCACAGGGCTATACTCCTAGGCCTTGTAGTATCTCTACAGATCCATCTTCTTGGGGACTATTTTATATTAAGTAGATTGCTGTTGTGTACATCATAATGCTATACCTACACCAATCTTCCAACCCAGTTTTCTGAGTTTTTGCTCTTTGCTCTTTGTTCTTCGGGTTACTACTATCCAAGATTGTCCAGGACTGTCCTTGTATTAGCACTGAAAGTTCCGTGGTTTGAGAAAACTATCTGTTTCAGGGAAACCCCTCAATCCCGGGAGTTACTTGGTCACCCTCTTCATTTTCACTCTTTGGAGCCCTTAGCAGCTGCAGCATGGGAAAAGGGAAAATGGATTCTCACTGCCACTGAGTGTGGCCTTCTGCCTGGGGTACGGATAATAAGGAGCCCTCTGTTCTCACAGTACAACCCAGAAGACAAGTTGAGGGACTGAGAACATCACTATTTCTCAAGTGTGCCAGATGTTACTGTTCACATGATTTACTGCTGCATAGTAAATGGCCACAACATTTACAGGCTTAAAACAGTATGCCTTTAATATTTCTCCTGTTTCCATGGGTCAGGAATTTGAGAAGGGCTCAGCTGACAGTTCTAGTTTTCTTAGTACTGTAGTGGCTATGCTAGAACAGCTTACTGGTCAACACCTTTTTCTGCTTTCCAGGCCTCTCCAAGGCTCTTGTTTAGGTATATAAGCTTAGGCTCTTTTCTTGGAATAGTGGCCTGCAGGCATTTATATACTTACCTGGCCCCTTAGGTTTCGGAAGAAGTATTCCAGCCAATAAATAAGAAGGTGCTTCAAATGTTACGTAGGATATTATCATTTCTACCAGTCTTGAGTCACAAAACTCCAGGGAAAACACATAGACCCCACTTCTTTTGGGTTGAAATATCAGTGTCACATTGTAAGAAGAACCTGGGGTGGAGAGATTATTGCAGCTATCTTTGGGAAACTGTCTAGTATGATTGGCTTAGCTTTGATGATTTGAAAAATGCAGGTTTTCATTAATATAAGTAGTAAAGTTATTAACATATAATTTTCCCTCATGAGTTTCATAAAGTAATTTTCACTTTGAATGCAAACTAAAAGGTTATCATGTAAATATTTCTTGACTTATTTAAAAATAACTGGTCACCAGTTCTACTAGAATGAGTCTGTATGTATGTGTATTTACTCCAGCTGATCAAAGTAGGCATAGCAAAGTTTGTTTTTGCAGTAGAGTTTTGGGGTGTGTGGTGTATTTGTGTGCATATATGCATCCTAGAGCATGAAAAGGAAGAATTGGTGAAGAAAAGGATATTTGTGACACAGAATGACTGCATCCACAGCAGGATAAAACAATAAAAGCATGATGACTGGGACAAGAACTAAAGGACAAGGATAGTGGTAGCTGTTTAGGAGTGTTCTACCTATACCATCACTTTATATGGTTCTGGCCTAGCTCTCTTCGGCTGCTTCTCTTTCACTGTGTTGCTTAAGACTTGTGAGTTATTATTCTTGTTGGTAGTTCCCAACCTCTTACTCCAGAGTAATGGGAATTGGGCTATGTTAAAAATAAAATAAAAACTCACATGCAGTTACTTGGAAAAATTTTCTGACACTACTGTTTGGCAATGTTTTAAGAAAGCATGGTACAGATCTTAACTTTTGAAAACTGTATTTGATAGTGTATTACTTCATATATGTTTACTACTTCACCTTTAATTTTGTGAATCTTGTATGAATTCTATTGTTTTATCTGAATAAATACATATACTATAGCAAAAGCTTATACTTCTGAACTTGTATTTTTTAAAAAACATATTTTGTATGTTTGGATTGTAGGAATATTGTAATACAGTCCCACTTGATTCTGGGATAGATTATCGGAAAAGAGTACTCCCCGCTGCAGGAAAACTCTACTACCTGTAAGTTTTGTTTCATTTTTTGTGAGTGTGTTTTCAATTTTTCCAAGTCTAAAATCTAGTAATTTATCAGGACAAGATGAGGAAAATAAACATGTTAATTAAGACTAGTTTTGAAAAAAAAAATCTCATGATTTTTAACCAAATGTTATTTTTACCAAAATGCTATTCTTTACACTGAGATTTTACATTCATATTTGCATCATTTATAAAGTGTGATTGGGTGAAATCTTAATTAGTTTTGAGGGGAGGAGTGATGACAGATGGTTAGAAAGTAATGAGATCCTCTAAGAAGAGACTGTGATATAAAGAGATTATATTTAACATGCTAAAGTAATTAATTATTTGTGGACATTTTATGACAAGTGTATCATTTATATTCTCCCAAAATTATTGTCTTATTTTGTAAGACAGTCTGTTTGTATTTATCATTGTTGACTGACTTCCATACAAAATTGATACAAAATATGTTCCATGGGCAAATGCAACTGGGTGTATTTTTAAGTCTTTAAAAAATATGATACTCCTGAGTAGAAGCAATTTATAATAATAGATGTATTCAGCATGTACAGTTAATACCAAGAAACTAGTTTTTTTGAGAATGTCACTTGTGAAAACCTGAAAGGAAAAAGTGCTTTCCAAATGCACACTGTTGTTTAGTATGTGCCAACAGTATTTGGTGCATAGTGGGTTCTCAGTAAATAGATATAAGGACTAATTGTAATTGAACTAAAAGGCATGTTTCTAGTAATTTAAATTTTGATGACAACGTGCTTATGAGAGGTTGAGGAAAGTTCTTCTCTCTGCACCTTGTAAGCAGAAGTACTTACTGTTTTTCAAGCAGAAATTAGCTAGAAAAATCACATAATTAAAATTGCATACTTTACAGAGTACTAAAGGGACGATTTCAGTTTATTATTCAGTTTCAGATGATTATTATAGAAGGTTCTTCATCTACGCTTAAGTACTTTGTCTTTAAAGTACTTTATAATTGAAAAAAATTCTTACAGCCCTATTTTTTGCTTTCACTTGGACTTTTTCTTCTTTGTATCTTTTATCTTGGTGGTTTTTGGTTTCTTTTTCTAATATTCACAATATTTCCTTGATTCTTTCTACCTGTTTCTTGCTATTCCAGGTGATTGGTACTTAGAAATGAATTATTATTCCCCTTATTCCGTTCTCAGAAGAGTTAATTCTTGCTCCCTGTTTCTCTACAAAATATATTCTTACATGGGAGAGTTAAGATATTTTCCTAATGAGGAGATCTTAACACAATTTATTATGGTCCTAACTCAAGAAATCTATTTCATGATGCTGAGAGAGTCTCAGTGGAATTTCCTGGAGACGAAAAAGCCGCTTTTGCTTGGAGCAAGGAACATAGCCATTTTCTCTCTCTGACTGACCATACTGATTATTGCTCTTCCAGCTTAACGTAAGATGGTTTTGACACAATGAAATTCAGTTTCATTCTTAAAACATACATGGGAGGAAAACAAATTCTTTTCAAACATCTCAGAATCCAGTAAACTATAATCAACAAAGTTCACCTTGAAACTCTTGGAATCTTTCTTTTTTTTTTCTATTTTAGGGCTGGGAAAGTGGCTTAGTGATAGATTGCTTGCCTAGCATGCATGAGGCCCTGGTTTAAATCCTCAGTACCACATAAACCGAAAAAGCTGGAAGTGGTGCTGTGGCTCAAGTAGTAGAGTGATAGCCTTGAGCAAAAAGGAAACTCAGGGACAGTGCCCAGGCACATTCTTAGCCCATATATATATATATTTATATATATATATATATATATATATACACTCTTATTTTATGCTGATAAAATAGTATATATGTATATATATATTCATTTACTCCTCAAGAAAGACACATTTATTTCTTCAAAAGGGCTTGACCATAGTCATAACTAAGATTAGAGAGCTTTGGGCATACCTCAGTAGAATTAGGCAGATGTGTATCCCTGAAGAGACTTAGAAATTAAAGTCATCTCAGAAGTAAGAAAATAATAGATACCAAGATGGGAATTCTAAGATTGTACATCTTGTTTTACATAAGCACTTAAAGTAGAACTCTCACAATAGAATAAAAGAAAATTTCCTTAGGTCATGTGAACATTTCTGATTTAATTTTCTTCTTGCCTTCTTCTCATAGGAAAAATTACTACTTTTCTGTTTAGAACAGATTTCAATGTGGTGTACCATATATCGCCCAGTTAATATATCTGTTTGTCTTAATAATCTCTGGCCAAACACCTGGAATTGGTTCCTGAATATTCAAGTCCAGTTTACCCCTTCTCAATTTGACTCCAGTGAATTTGGGCTCCAGCCTAATTGTCTGAAAAGAAAAATGAAATGCTAGCACGTCAAGCACTACCTCAGAGATCCTGTGCATGATTATGGTTCTTACTTGTATAGAAATATTTAGAGCTGGTAGCTTCACACCTGTAATCCTAGCTACTCTGTAGGCTGAGATCAAGGGATTGTGGTTTGAAGTTAGATGGGGTAAGAAAGGTCCATGAGACTCTTATCTCTAGTTAACCAGCAAAAAACTAAAGTAGAGCTGTGGCTCAGGTGGCAAAGCACTGGCCTTTGTTGAAAATTAAGGGACAGTGCCCAGGCCCTGAGTTTTAGCCCTAGTACTACTGGTACAGACAGACAGACAGACAGACAGACAGACAGACGGACGGACGGACGGACGGATGGACGGAGAGACAGACAGACAGATGGATAGACGGACGGACGGAGAGACAGACAGACGGACAGACGGACATATATCCACAGAAAGAGAGACGTGAAGCAATTTATATGCTAAACAATTTGCATATTTGAAAGTGTAATTTTTTCATATATTGACAGAATTATGTAATCATTAGCACAGTTAACTTTAGAACATTTTACCACCCTAAAAATAAATACTTCCTGCATTCTTTAGATATCACCTCTATCCTTTCCCATTCAAATCTACTCTTCTACCTTGCCAGCCAAAGAAACCAATCTATTTTCAATCTTTACATATTTATGTGTAATGATATTTCATATAAATGTGATAATATAAAATGTGGTCCTTAGTGATTGTCTTTTGTTTTCAAGTTCATCTGCATCATAACATGTATCAGCACTTTTTTTGGGGGGGGGCAGATCTTGGGGCTTGAACTCTGGCCCTGGGAGCTGTCCCTGAGCTTCTTTTGCTGGAGGGAAACACTCTACCTTGAGCCACAGCACCACTTCTGGCTTTTTTTTTTTTTGAGTAGTTTATTGGAGATAAAAGTTTCATGGACTTTCCTCCCCAGGCTAGCTTTGAACTCCAATCCTCAGATCTCAGCTTTCCTGAGTAGCTAGGATTACAGGCGTGAGCCACCAGTGCCCTGCTGTGTCAGCATTTTAATTACTGGATAATGTTTTGTTGAATAGATATACATCTTCTATTTATGCATTCATCAGCTGATGGACATTTAATGTATTTCTGCTTTTTTGACTATTGTGAATAGTGCTGCTATTAACATTTTGTACAAGTTTGATGTTTTTTTTTTGGTATCAACTTATAATTAATTTATTTTCTACATCTTGTAGTAGCATGCAGGTCATGTAAGAATTCTGTTAGGACTGGGAATGTAGCTTAGTGGTAGAGTGCTTGCCTAGCAGGCATGAAGCCCTGGGTTCAATTCCTCAGTACCACATACACAGAAAAGGCCCGAAGTGTTGCTGTGGCTCGAGTGGTAGAGCACTAGACTTGAGCAAAAGAAGCTCAGGGACAGTGCCCAGGCCCTGAGTTCAAGCCCCAACGCTGGCCAAAAATAAATAATTATATGTTTAGCCTTTTAGGGTACTGATAGACTTTTTTCCAAAGCAGCTATACCATTTTACCTGTCCACTATGACAACGTATATTATCTGTTTAATGGTTTCAGTTTTTCCGGTTTTATTTTGCTGGCTCTATGGCTTGAACTGAGGGCCTAGGCACTTACTTGACCCTGAGCTTTTTGCTAAAATCTAGCATGCCACCACTTGAACCACACTTCCAGTGCCAGCTTTTTTAGTGGTTATTTGGAGATAACATTCTCGTAGACTGGGGCTGGCTCTGAATCATGATCCTGAGATCTCAGCCTGCTGAGTAGCTAGGATTATATATAGGCATAAGCCATAGGAGCTTGGCTTTAGTTTTTGTTTTGTTTTTGATGATAGCATTTGTATGAGTTTGCTAGGTTTGTTTGTTTGTTTTTTTCCCCACTGAAGCATTTTATTTATATGCATGTGTTAATGCCTAGAAAAAGAATCCCAGGATTTTCCCTCCTGTGTGTTTCCATCTTGCTTCTTCATGGTCCATGATGCTGTGGTGGTAAGAACAGTGAAGCCAAACTGACCAGTTGAGAGCAGATTATTCTGCCATTTTTCAAAGTCTTTGAGCTGCACATCAAAGCTGGGGCTGATTACTCCACACTTGTTTAACCTACCTGTGAGGTTCACAACAATTTTCCCAGCTCTGTGATCATCAGTGATTTCAAACTGGCCAATGTAGCCATGCTTCATAATCACAGTGAGAAACCTGACGATGACTTTAGAGCACAGCCTGATGAGCACCTGGCGGTTTGCCTCTCTTCTCAGCATTGTTGATGCTCTTAAGGGCATCAGCCAGGACGTTCATGCGCACCATGATGGCGGCACAGAAAGGTGGTGAAAGAGTTCCTAGGGTTTTTATAATACAACAAGATGGCTTAAAACAACATCTGTTCACAGTTTTGTAGGCCCCATGTCTGTAGTCAAGGTATTGGCAAGGCTCCACACTCCCCTCTGAAACTGTGAGAGGTCTATCCTCCTCTTCTACTTCTGTTCAGTTGCCATTATTCCTTTGTTTTCCTTGGGTGGTAGATAATGTTCTTTAATTTCTATGTCTGACATCAAATGGTTACTTCTTATAACCATTTCTCTCCTATTTTTTTTTGCCGGTTGTGGGACCTGAACTCTGGGCCTGGGCACTGTCCTTAAGCTCTTCACCTGAAAG